ACCCCCCCCCCCCCCCCCCCCCCCTTCAGGGAGTTCCGGTGCACTAAAGAAAAGTGAGGGGAGCAAAAGGCGGGATCCTAAATCCCCAGGCAGGGCCGCTCGTGGCAAAGGGGAGCGGAGGGAATGAGCCGGTCCAGACGGACGGGCTCCTTGGGGCTGGAGACGCGTGCCGCGATCTACCGCAGGTCTGTCCCCGCCGGGCTGGGGGTGGGGGCTGCATTTCCAGAGCCCATGTCCAATGTGTTTTGGAAATGGTAAGCACCACGTTCAGCTGATTAGATTTACGCCCAGCTGTGACAACCCATAGGAGCCCGGGCAGCTTTGCTCCATACGTTTCCATAAGCAGGGCTGGTGCTTGAATGTTCTCTCCGATCCCTGCAAAGTGTTGGTTTTACGAGATGTCAGATCTCCTTTTATTGCTGATAGCAGGGACTCACCTTCAGATCTCCAAAGGAAATGAAGGTGACGTGGATTCCCCTCTTTTCTGCGGAATCCAGGTTTAAAGGTCTCCTGAGACAAATAAGGTTTTCTGACATTGAGAAACACCCCGAGCCAAGCCGGGGCGTCTGCAAGCCGGCCTTGCGACGGGAGAGAAACTTCTGCCAGCACAGCTCTCCTCTGGTTCCTCGGGGCCTCCAGCCTGGCAGCATCCTGCAGCCCGGGGGAGATCGGGCACCCCTGGCGAGGAAGGCCCACAGGGCCTGGTCCCTATAGTGTGCAGGTGGCCCCTATAGGTGCCATAGCCCTCGAGAGCTCACGTGGAAATACTAGGCTGTCTCAGGCAAGCGGGGCAGCGCCCAGGCAGGACTGTTTCGCCTGGGACTCAGCTTGCTGCCTGATCATTTCTGACGAAGGCCAGGGTCACCAATTCCTCTCGGCTCACCTTTGCCACGGGGGTGATGGTTTAGGCAGGTCCCTATCTCTCTGATGCCTCTGTTATGTCAGTCAGTGTGGCGATCCCTAATAAGCCGAGGTCGTGAGAAATCACACACACCCATGTGCCTCATCTATATTTTATTTCCCCTGGGAAGGCACAGCCAGGCTGGGGTGGGGTGGGGTGGGGGTCTTTCGCTGAGATGCTACTGTTGATTGTCAGGGATATTTATTTACAAGAAGGGGTAACATTCGCGATTCAAAAGCAACCAGCCACTGCCTCTCATTAATGTCATTTTGAGCCGGCAGAAGGAATCAAGCAGCCTGAGTCGGTTTGAGGGTCGTTTCCCGGCAGGACTTAGGCAAGCAGCTGTCCCGTTTTGCGTTTGCTCGTCTTCTTGTGCCTGTCGGGATAGACTGTCGGTTTGAAGTTCGTGGAGGAGAAGGGGGAGGGAGGCGGAAAAAAAACAAAACACAAAAAAAGATAAATCAATCAAAAGAAAGAAGGAATCGGGTCGTCGTCGGGTCCCTTTAGCGATGATGATCTGGCTGTTTGAAGCTGATCTGCCCCGCAGAGTGATCGAAAACTGTGCGGATTGGTTTTGCCTTTCCAGGCTGAACTCCTTCTGCTGGGATAAGCACTATCCCCGGCCGTGATTTTCAAATAACAAATGCCCCTTCTTCCACCCCCCCGCCCCCCCCCCCGTGTTATCCGAGCGCTTTGTCGTAGATGAAGGGAGAGCAGAAAATGCGCTGTTGGCAAGGGGACACTTTCTCCCGGGCTAGTGGAAAGCTCTGTTTACAAGCTCTGCAGACCTTGGACCTTTGTGCCAGATGAAGAGGCCTCGGAGGTCTGCACAGTTTGCAGACCTACTGTTTTTCAGTTCCCCTGCAGTTGTCCTCCCAGCGAGCCAGCATCCGGCAGCCGGCGCAGCTGCCTGCCCAGCTCCGTCGGGCGGTGTCTACACTATGATCTCCCTCCCCCCCTTTTTTTGTTTTTTTTGTTTTTCCTCTAGGGAAAACAACGAGAATTCCAACTCCAACAGCCACAACCCGCTCTCGGCCTCCATGAACGGCAATAAGACAGTTTTGGGCAGCTCGGAAGACGAGAAGACGCCGTCAGGGACCCCTGACCACACTTCTTCCAGCCCAGCCTTGCTGCTCAATTCCAACCCGGGCCTGCAGCCGCTGCACGGCTTGGGGCACCCCCAAGGGCCTAGCGCCATCCCGGTGCCCACTGCGGACCCTATGCACCACCACAACTTGCAGGACTCCATTCTCAACCCCATGTCGTCTAACTTGGTGGACCTCGGTTCCTAAAGCTATGGACGCGCTCCCCCCCTCCCCTTCCTCCTTCCCTCCATATTTCCCCCTCGCCCTTTCCAAACAAAAAAGCAAAAAAAAAAAAAAAAAAAAAGCAAATCTTGTCTGCAACTTTGCAAGCGATGGGGACGGGGGCCCCTGAATGAGTCTGCCCATGCCCCTTCGGAGCAGGGCTGGCTGCTGGGACTGCCTGGAAGGTCCCGTGCTTAGACGGCATGCGGTGATGTGGTGACAAAGTCTTAAGGGTTGTGCAAAGCTGGCGCGAAGCAAAAAGACTATTTGCTAGGACCTGTGATCGGGACAGCAGACTAGGACGGTTCTGGATAGCAGCTCTCTTTCGATATATATATATATATATATATATATATATTCCCTCCCTCCAGCAGCCTGAACTTCGCAAATCTCTTGGTCTTTGAATTGATCGATCTATGATTTTTCTACGATCGGTCTGGTCTGTGTGTGTGAAAAGGCACATTGTATTTGTGCGGGGGAGGGGAGCGGGAGCGGAGGCTGCTATCGACATGCCTCTTGGAAGACACACCTGGCTCCTGGTCCCCTCGTGTAGCTATCCCCCCGTGGCAGGTGTACGATGCACCATTGCAACCGCGAGTCCAAACGTTTGTAGTCAAGTTATAGCAGAAACGCGCGCTAGGCAGACTCTGTAACCTCCTTGTAGCTGACGCTGTGCAGAGAGCCGGCTTCTTTCGCCTTGTCCCTCTCCGGTGCTTTCGCCATGTGTTGGGTGGAATAGAGGAACCCGAGCCTGCCCCTGCTCCGGCTCTCCCACCGACCCCTCCCGGGGGCAGGGCCGGGCCCTCGAGAAGAAGAGGAAGGAGAAACGTAAGAATAAAATGAACCCCGTGCTGCTCATTCTTAGCCCTGCCCGACAGTATCCGCCGCGAGTCACTCGACTTTAGTTTTGTTTATTGTTTATATTATGTGAATACATTCTTTGGAAAATATTTCTGCTTTTATTTTATAATAAAATTTAGAAATGGAAGCCGGCCCGCAGTGCTTGCTTCGCCTCCATATGGGGGGCGGGGGAGGGAGAGCGGGAGGGTGCTTTCCCTGCGGCTGCTAAAAAAGCCAGGGGCAGCCACGTGGGCGCGGAGATCCCACGGGCTCCGCTCTCCAGGCCCAAGCCGAGCTCTCCCCTACAGGGGGCTGGGCTGGGGGCTGCCCGGGACCGGCTTCTTTTCAGCAAGAGACATGGTGTGACATGCAGTAGGGCCGAGCCACGCGGGAGATGCCAGGCGGGGCCGCCGAGGCAATGGGCACCCGCGGTTTAGACCCGCACGTGGCAAAGGGGCTCGGCCTACACTTGTGTGCGTGCGTGTGTATATATGTAAGTGTGTGTGTTTGTATGTGTGTGTGCATGTGTAAGTGCGTGCGTGTGTTTGTATGAGTCTGTGTGCATGTGTGTGCAAGTGTGCGTGCGTTTGTATGTGTAGGGGTGTGTGTGTAAGTCTGCGTGTGCGCTTGTATGCACGCATGTGTATGTAAGTGCGCATGTGTGTTTGTATGTGTGTGTGTTTGTATGTATACGTGTATGTGTGCGTGCGTGCGCATGTGTAAGTGTGGGTGCGTGTGTCTGTACGTGTACTTGTGCATGTGTGCGCTTGTTCCCCTCCGCTTAGTTCTGGGGAGACTATTGCCAGTCCCTGCGCCAGGACCCAGCCACATTTCTCAGCCCGCTGGGGCCAGGTGGGACGGCGGGAGGAGGCGAGGGGCCCTGGAGCCGTCGCCTGCAGGGGTTTGCCCCGAGTGCAGGAGCCCAGCGCCGTGGGCCCGGGGCCGGCGGCACCTGCCCCTGAGCCAGCCCCGCAGCAGGGCGGAAGGGTGGCTGCGGAGCCCGCAGCCCCCGGGATGCGCCCCCCTCCGTCCCCAGGGCCTGGCAGCTGGGTGGAAGGCGCGAGGGGGACCCGAAGCACCTCTGGTGCCCGCGCAGACAGATGGGGGCGTCCGCACTGACCCGCGGCAGCGACCCGGCTCCCGGTCCCCATTCCCGGCCTCCCCAGAGACGCGGGCACGAGGGACATCGGGGCCCTGGAGGTGCAGGTTCAGCCTCCTGCCCGTGACCCCCTCCCCTGCCCGCAAAGCCCTGTTCTTGGCTCCCAGTGTCTGTTACACCGATACCACGAGATTCCCACGTCGCTGTCACGCCGGGATCTGTTTAAGGGCAGGGTGGGATTAGGAGTCAGCTGCACTGTTTACGTCTCACTTAACTGCGAGCGGTGGCACTGACATACCCGCGTTTGCAGGCCAGAAGTGGCCGTGGTAATCATCTGACTCGCCGCAGAATGTCACCTCTGGGCTGCTGCACGACGCCCACCAAGTCTCTGCGACTTTCGTTGTTTCTTTCGGGGGGGTTGTTTTGTTTTGGTTTTTTATTTTAATACGAATGTCATTAAAAAGGAAAGGTCCCGAAATATCGCTCGTTTCTTTTCCTTTTCTTTTTTTGATTGCTGCTAAACCGCGTTTCTCTTGAGTTGGGAAAAACAAACCAGCAATATTCTGCGGCTGGAAGTGGCGAGGAAATCTGTGCGTGTCCCAGGTTTCAAGCGCAGGCTGAAATTTCAATCAACTGGCTTCAGCGGGAGTTGTTGCCTGTATAATAGGCGATTTTCACACCAGCCAGGGTGAAACTAAGGCATTGTGCTTTGTGGGGGTCTCTCTACCAGCCTATTTCTAGCCGACTTGCGGGGGCTGGACTAGATGACCCTCCCCGCCCTGTGATTCTGTGCCAGGAGCCGTTTTATTGATTGCAGTGGGTGTCGGATGAGTCCCTAAAGAGCCCCTTCTCCATTACCCTGAGTCTCATTACTGGTGTATGTTTTGGATCCTAAAAGTAAACAAAGTCTTTTAATATTACAAGGGAGACGGGGCTCCCCGCGCTCTTGAGCCTAGATACCTTTGCTAATCTCCACTCTCCCTTTTCTCCAAATCCCTGCTCTTTCTGTTCGCATCCAATACTAGGCGACGAATTCAGAAACCAGGTGAATTCATAAGCAAGGCTTATCTGGCAATCAAACATCTCTTGAATATATGTGTGCTAGCGTCTGAGTACCATTGGATACAGTCCGGCGTGTAACTTAAATCTGAACTGCTTGCGCGCAACTCGTAATCTCAATTACACACTGTCATGCTTTGCAGAAGACACTTTTTTTTGGCCCTAAAACGGCATGTGAAATATATTGGAAATAATTAACTAATTAATTCAATTGCATTTTAGAAGCTGGTTTGGGACGAACGGTTTTTTTTAAACGACTGGAATAATGACAATACAGTTTGGAGACACAGCACTTGTCCGCTGTAGAAAAATAAGGTTCGGGAAGAAAGACTAGAGCCAAGAGGAGAGCCAGTATGAAAACAGGATGGGGTTGAGGTGGTTAATACAAGGTCATATTGCACAGAGGAGGCAAAATTTGATCGGGGGAAAGAAAATGAATAGCTAATAGGGCGAGAAAGACCCTTTGAAGCCCAGGGGCGATGAAAACTTCTGTAAGTGGCAGAGAGGATCATATGGGTGGAAAAAAAAAGACGGGGGGAGGGGGCCAGTCCATTCAATTCAATCGAGTTAAAACCCGCCAGGGCGCCCTGCAAAAACCGGCGGAGGTCAGACTGGGATTAAGGACACACACTCCGCCTCAGCCCCGGCTGCTGGCTGTGTAGGATGCAGCCTGAAAAACCCCTTGCGTGTTAAGACTCGTTTCATCAGCCTGCACTTGCCCTCAGCAACTGCGTTTTCTAAATGAGCCCCAATCCTTAGCTTTTCTGCACACACGCACACACTCGGAAGTTTTGCAATAGATGAATATGCAGAAAGTGACGTGACTAATCCGGGTTTTTAAACAGATTAGTTATGATTCAGTAGCTGTGTGCTACGCGGGGCATAGCTCGACTCAGAAGTGCTGGCTGGCTGGTTTCGCTTGGGAAAGAACAGGGGGGAGCGGCTCCTGCCCCAAAGACGCTCCCCCCCCCCGGGGGGTGACCCATGCCCACCCCAGAGGGTGCCAGCCGGGGGCGGCCCTGCGTGGGGCACTGCCCTGCGACTGTTGGCAGGGGCCAGGGAATACGGGGAAGCCACCAAGAAAGGCCTTAAGCCCCTGCGGAGCTTGCTCTTGAGGTGGCACTAAGCAGGAGGGGGCCTCGGATAGCCCGCGTGGGCACTTGGCCAGACTGGCAGTGCTGGAGCAGGAAACTCCAGCTGCCCCCTCCCGGCTCCTGCCTGCATCACCTGGGCGTAGGGGCACGGGGCGAGCTCCGCACCAGCGTGCAGCGCCCGCCGGGGCAATGGCAGGGTCACTGCACGGCGCGGCAAAGGTTGTGTGCCTTGGGTCGCAAATGTTACCATGCTAAACAATTCGTCCGGTGTGTGGGGCCCACGGAATACACCCCGCTCCACTTAGACCGCTTCTTCATATGCATTTCATTTTTAAGTGAAAAGCCCGGGTTTGGATACTCGCTCTGTCCTGCTCTGTCGGCTGTGAAAACCTCTTTCCTACTCTCCCCCAGCTCGCCTGTGAGCGTTGTGTCGGAGCCCATTGCCCCAGACACTGCCAAAGTCCCCTTATTTATATAGACTTGACATGGCAAATTGCACTCGGGAGACCAGGAAACTGCTTCTCAGTGATCCCGTGCAGCAAACCCAGGCGATCGATGCATTTGGGGGGGCTCCCCGAGGGGCCCGATCCCGTCCTCTTTGCTCGGGCCCGTAGGGCAAGGCCCCGCACTGCCTGCTGCCCTAGTGTGCCAAGAAGGCACCTCTTTCTGTTGCTAATGCCAAACGCTCCGCAGTTTCTTCGCCCTGGGGAAAAGGTAAAGTTTTTTGGGCACGGAATGAAGGACGATTGAGCAGAGAGGCGTTTTCCTGTGCGTAAATTAAGCCATTTCACATGAATTCAACTTAATCTGCATGAGAGATGTAATATAGCTGCGAGAAGCCTCCTGCTTGGGATATTTCCTAAGGGATATCTCAGATGCGGCTTCATTCTTTGCCTAGCAGCTTTGTTAGAAAATGAAGCCGTAATCTGCCCGTAATAAGGAATGCTAAAGAGCTCGAGTGAAAAATGC